GTTACTTTTCCCTCTCCTTTGATGTCTCTGTGACGTCCTGTGGGCCACGCCCCATTTTCTCTCCGATTCAGAGCCTATCCCAGCAAGCAGTGGGTGCAAGGTGGGGTACGGCCCTGGACGGGACGCCAGACCGTCGCCGGGCCGAGAGACACAAACATACACACTCACACGCCCGGGGCAATTTTACAGAGGCCGGTTAATCTGCCAGCGTGTCTCTGAACTGCGGGAGGAAACCCACACAAACCTGGTGGGAACATGCAGACTCCACACAGACAGCACCCCCAGCTCCAGAATTAAACCCAGGGTCCCAGCGCTGCGAGGCAGCAATGATGACAACTCCGCCACCGTGCCGCCCTCTAAAAAAATCAAAAATCCTGGACTGGCAACCGGCGCTCTGAGCTCTTCACCCCGGTAACGACCGGTCTCAACCAGCGACTGGAAAGGCAGGCCCTCAAACAGCGCCGTGCTCTGCCCACCCCCGACGCGAGGGCCAACAGCTGGCGCTCCGTGATTCCAGACTCCCGGCTGGGCACCTGTGAAAACACCCCCCCCCGGAGTCGTGCCGGGGAGACACACCAGCCCCCCTCCTCCCCGCGCTCCGTGTCTCGGCTCTCCCACGGAACGACAGAGGCGGCTCCTGACAGATCACTCCCAGGCACGCGGTGCTGCGCTTCCCAATAACTGCCCGAGACGCCCCCCTGAGTCAGGGCCCCCCCCAATACACACACACACACTCGCGACAGGGAGTCAGAACAGCTGAAGGGATTCCCTGCCAGCCTACCATGCTTCAAGGCAGTAAGCGAACAAGGAAATCGTTGGATCCTGGCTTCCCCAAGATGTTACCCTGCGGTACAGCAAACCCCAGAGTCAGCTCCAGCAGTTCCATTTAGGCTCCGGCCCGAGCTGCAGGTCGGCAGAAACATTCACCAAAGCCGCGACCCAGGGCAACAGACCGGCCGCAGGCGCCGTCAGAGGATGCCCACGGTGTGAGAGCACGTCTGGCCCGCCTGAACACACGGGACTCTCTCAGCACCGCGGCCACCCGCGAGACAGGCTTCCGAGGCAGGGTCGATCGCCGGGGAGACGGCGAAGGCGGCTTCAAACCAACGAAGGGACCCCTCGGCTCGCGGGGCAGTCGAACCTCGCTAGAAATGCAAAACCGGAACGGGATTCGCCACTCTCTCCAGCCCCCCGCTGTCCAGTTCAGGGTTGTTGACGAGCCGGGGCCTATCCCAGCAAGCAATGGGAGCAAGGCAGGGTCCGCCCTGGTCCACCGCAGGGCAGCCGGAGACACACTCTCACACCAGGCCCAGTTCCCCCCCCCCCGACGTGTCTTTGGACTGCGGGAGGGAGCCCACATGAGCACGGGGAGAACATACAAACTCCACACAGACAGCACCCCCAGGTTCGGAAACGAATCCAGCGTCCCAGCTGCTGTGAGGCAGCCATGTTGCCCCCTGCTCCCACTCCTCTTCCAGCAGAATCAGTCCCAGTACTACCGATGACTAGATCGCAGGGGATCTTTTCTGGCAGGGGGGCTCTTAACGAGGCTCTTGAGTCTGATTATAACAATTATTCATCTGTTCCTAGGCAGAATAAAACACTCAAAGAGAACTGCACATCAACACAGCGCGGAGGAGGAGCTTCGCCTAAGAGTGCCGATTTTACACGCTGCCTACCCCAGGGGTGAAACTAATCCCTATCGCTTCTGGGGACCCTCACAAAGGTTCCCACTGCTGTACCAGAACCACCGGACTGTCTTAAACTCAGTTTTGGCTACCTCTGCCATATCATCATGTTGGACAACACCACCACCCGCCATTAGATGAAGAAGGACACAGGACGGACGACCCGAAATGAGAGGGAGCCTGTCACCCCCAGCAGGCTCGTCGGCTAGGTCCTAGTTAATAGATCCCCAGCCCTCCACCAGCTGTTTCTTGAAAGAAACCAGGGTACCGGCTTTCACAACGGAGCGCCTAGCTGGCTTGCTCCACACCTCCACCACCCTCCGCGTAAAGACGTGCCTCCTGTTCCCGCCCGTCAAAGCGTTGCCAGACGTTTCCACTTGTGTCCACAGCACGGGTTTCACTGTCGATTCCCATTCCCGAGAGGAATAAGCACTGAGCTGCGGGGGGGGAAGAGGGCTAATCACGGGTTATATTCACTGCAGTCGTGACCGTGTTGCTCAGGAGAAGTGAACTCCAGGAGAAAAAAAAAATGACAGCGCCTGAACGACGCAGACGCGACAAGAGAAGCTCACCGCAGGCCGGACGGATGGCACAGAAACTGTCTGGCGTCTGTCGCAGCCGGAATTATTCGGGAAATCCTTCGTTAGCTTTGGAGCTGCGGTTCAGACACCAACCGGTTCCCTAGCCGTTGTCCAAACCCCTCTGCTTCGGGCTCGGGTGTCTGGAGAGGCAACACGGCGCTCGCTGGGACAGGCTAGAGGATTTTAAAATGACGCACCGAAAAATAACCCGCTCGGTGGCAGGAGATGACCAGGACAGCAGAATAGACAGAACAAAACGAGCACCCATGATGTCTTACCTACAGAGGCGTCGCAGTTCACCATTTTCTTCCCCCCGAACCGAGATCTCTTCACCCCCTTCAGAAGCTCAGGAAACTGAGGAGTCGCTTTCCCATCCGGCCGGCAGACTCGCAACACACACACAATCAGCTCCGCTCGCACGGTCGCGCTTTTCCCGTGTCCCGTCCCCACGCAAGGAAGAGTGATGACACCACGTCACGACCACGACTGCCGTGCATCCTCCTCAACTTCAGCCAAGTCGCCCAGTTTATCAACCGCGTCCCCGGGAAACCCCCCTCTCCCCCCCCACCGCCGCCGCCCGCTTTCCGTCTCTTTTCACAACTAAGCCACGCAGAGACACGGGTGTCACAGCCGGGAGAAGTCACGGAGTCCCCTCCCCGTCCCCGATACCATCGAGTGCCGTGATTTTAACACACACATCAACAATCGCACTACAGTTGGTCGGCGTCTCCGACTGATGGATCAAAGCGCAGCGACATAAAAAAAAAAACAGTTTCACCGGCTAAATTATACACCAAGGGAAAAAAACGACTTACCTCTTCGGTAATCGGGGTGTTTAAAAAAATCTCTTTTATCTGCAGGTTTTCACCTCCATTTGTAAACGCTTGCCAAATCCCCCTTAATCGTCTCCCAGAGTTTCTCTCTCCAGCAACTCTTGCTGAATTGACAGGCCTGAGTCTGCCCGCCGCTAGCGCCTGTTGGTCCTAAAAAAGACTTGAGAGAAGTGATGCTTCCGAAAACTAGAGTCCTGCGAACGCCATGTTGGCTCTGCCGTGCTGTGCTGCGGGATCAGCAAAAATGTTGATTCCTTGAGCCAAAATGGCGTCCGTCTCACAATCCTTCCACTCGCTCGAGTGAGCAGTGGAATAGCACAATTCACTGAACTTTGATCTACAAACATAACATTTTCAATCGGGGAGATAGTATACAATTATAAATAATGATACGTTTTCGTTCAGGGACATTTAACTTTTGTTGTTTTTTTAAGGACCCCAACTGGCTTCGTGGGACTTCATCGGAAGGCTGTCTAAAGATGTGCCTGAAAAGAGTAGTGGGATAGATTGGGTCCCCCCTCCCCAGAGAAGTGGCAGTGTTTGTTAACTTGGTGTATGTTTGGCGATGGTGCTATTGCAGGGATGGGAAAGAAAATCACAGGAATTCAAACACGTCTCGTTGACGCGCCACAGACACGTAGCAACTGATGCGGCAATCTTCCGCTTCAACTACAGCAGCAAGTGTCTTGTGGCGCTGATATTGTATACCCAACTTATTAAATTGTGTTACAATTCTTAAAAATTAGACTGCCGTTTTTCAACCCCTGAGTCACAAAGGCGTCGTTGTATCCCTTTAAAACTCCATTCTTTGCGATCATCAGAGCAAAAAAAAAGTCAAAACACTAATGTGGCTTCTTCAGAGATCCCAAGAGAGATAAGATTAAGATTTTTGTTTTACTGATTAAATCTTCAAAAACTGCGAATGCTAGTCAACGCGGATATTTGTCACTTAAACTCTTCGGAAGCCATTGTCGACTGATACAAAAATCAGTTTAAATCCGCGAGACCAAGACGATTGCCGATTCTGATCGGCAATTTGGCTGTTAAGAAGCACAACTAAACCGATTTCACTTATTTCCACATTTCTCGGGTGTAATCTCACCCTCGCCGGTTGAGCTCTTTAAAAGGGACTGTTCTCAAAGGGAATTTTAAAGGGAGGTACATCAAAGATGAATGAACTCGGGCTGTAAAATACTATTTTTGTTCGAAACCCGACCTACTGTCCACATACTCATTACATTCAGTACTGGTTCAGAAAGGGTTCGGTTTACACGCGTGAAGAAATCCGGTTAAAACATGCATTCGTATAAAATTGCTCATACACGCTGACTAATTCCGACTTCTACCACAGGCCGGACCTACAACGCGACACGTCACAGTTATTATATATAGAAATACAATAGGAAAGCTTTTGGCATTACGGTATCCACAGCAATTAATGCTTGACACACCATGTAACTATTACTGTGTAAACTGTGTGGGGGCGTCTTTAATTGGATACGGTAGTGATTAGTTGGATGCAAGGAAGCTTTTCAGTCAAAACAGATGGTAAGGAGGTGTGTCTCTAGAACTCGTAGACACAAAACAGTTTCACCACGCCGTGGGTACTAGCGTTTCGGCAGTGAATCACGATCCGGGAGACATGCGTGGACACTGGAAGCGTGTTGAAGACTCAGAACAGGAGGTGTTTTATATATAGGCAGGGAGGGTCTCGATCAAACACCCGAGACAAGAGTCCCAATCCTGCACCTTGATGTCTACACCCCTGCTGTCACTTCAGTTACTTAATTTAAGCTTTTTCTGAGCTAACGGGTTGCTCGGCTGGAATATTTGCTATTTTTGTTTTACTCAGAAGCTTGGGATTTTATTTTATTTTCAAATGTACACGTTAAAAAGCGACCCCCTTACTCACTTTACTTTATGGTCCCAGGTGGGAAACTGGCTCAGCAGGCAGGTAAAAGACAACACAGCAGACTGTACATTCGGGCGGTGTGGTGGCTCTGTGGCTCAGGATCTGCGCCTGTGGCTGGAAGGTTGCTGGTTCAAATCCTGTGACCAGCAGAGGAATCCTACTCTGTTGGGCCCCTGAGCAAGGCCCTTGACCCTAGGGGTGCTGTATAAATGGCTGACCCTGCGCTCTGACCCCCAGCTTCTCTCTCTGTCTGTGTGTGTCATGGAGAGCAAGCTGGGGTATGCGAAAAGACGAATCTCTAAAACAAATTGTAGGCGGCTGATACAGTGATCTTATCTTTTCCCTATCACTCTGTATGTTAAAACACACCGGAGTTTCCACAAGTATTGTTTGCGAGATGGCCAGCATGGTGTAATAGACACTCTGCTACGACACGACTTCTTTCTAGCTGGGGGTATTATATATAAAATGGTAGAATAAAGGCACACAAGAAAAAAAACTGATCCCCAGTGAGGCATCTTTGCCCAGATTAACGTTTCTGTGCTAATTCTACACTCGTTTCCAGGTCTATATCAGGACAGAGTGCTTATAACAAAATGTCCTGTATCCACATTTGATCTAGAGTATAAAGCTGTGGAACCTGGATTTTTTATAGTTCAGCAATCACTCTAAATGTAGGTTGCCTTGGATAAAGCCATGAGTTACATTATCTATTCCTATGATTCAGAGTTTTAAGTAAATCATATGTGTACAAAAACCAATGCATCTCGCAAGAGTTTAAATACATAACATTTATTTAGAATGGGTTACGAAAATATATTCACATTTCTTGGCATTATTTTTCAAAGAAACTGATATGAGAATATTAAATTGTGAATATAAGAACACCAGATTAAAGCAAAGTTTGTTTTAGAAAATGACCAACACATAAGGTGCTATAATGTTTCTTCAAAATAAGCTTTTTTTTTTTACTTTATGTGCACACTGGTAAAAACACACAATTTTATCTTTTGATAAAAATAAAGTGCAAGACACATTTGTTTTTTGCCCCAAATGGAAAACTACTTATACGTTCAACAGAAAAAAAACATTATTCATTGTTAGTTTTAGACACGGTACTTTGAAGTCAGAGCTGCCTTTTAAGGAACTGAACTGAAGTACCACGAAGAGTCACATCCTAGCATGTGCTAAACTCTGCTTTTAAGACGGTTCACATGGACCATGTCCAGCCTGTTCAGAATCTGTCACCCCTTTAAGAAGTGTTTTTTTTTATTTGCAACAAATTTAAGGAACATAATCAGTCAGAGTGATGCTGACCAACATAGTGCCCACAACGTAAGGTAGCCTATTAGAGGGATCAATTGTAAATTCTCAAAGGAAGACCTCACTCTCCTGCTGGAGAGATTAAGGACAGGTCGGGCCCGAGGTGAAGCAGGACTCCTGAGGCTGGTTCTGAGCACACTCGGCAAGAGCACACCTTCCCCTTCAGAGGAAACGTACAACAGCCCCTTGACCCACCTGCACGACATGCACAGAAGAGTCTGGTGCTCAGCTGAAGACTGCCCACCCTTTCCCCAAAGCAGACCAGAGATATGTACGCATGTGCCAACACCTATATGTACACATTTACACAAATCTATACACGTATAACTACACACATGCATGGTATCGTCAATACCCCCAAACAACATCACTGTTGGTTTTCTATGAGAAGGAAAGGAGTCTGTGGCCGGAAGATTTTGGAGAGTAAAGCTGGAGTTCACGGTGACATTTCAACACCCCCCAAGTTCATCTTAAAGGACAAATGGGTGGAGCGGTGGCTCTGGGGCTCAGGATCTGCGCCTGTGGCTGGAAGGTTGCCAGTTCAAATCCCACAGCTGGCAGAGGAATCCTACTCCGTTGGGCCCCTGAGCAAGGCCCTGAACCCCAGCTGCTCCAGGGGTGCTTCATAAATGTCTGACCCTGCGCTCTGACCCCCAGCTTTTCTCCCTGTCTGTGTGTCTCATGGAGAGCAAGCTGGGGTGTGCGAAAAGACAAGTTCCTAATGCAAGAAATTGTATATGGCCAATAAAAGTCTTATCTTATAAATGCTACCATCTATCCATCTGAAACCCTTTCATGCAGGAAGATGGTGGAAGATGCCAGCTTCTGCTTCTTTTCCAAAATGGGGGGAAAAAACACTTCTGTCTTTTTCTGCTCCAGAAATGCTTCCAAATAAATTAACATTGATCTTTGATACAGATTTGAAATACCCACTTTTCAGTGAAAACAAGTCTCCACTACTGCTGCATGGAATAGGGCTTTATGAAGTGACCACAGACAGGTTATTATACTTCTGATTTTCAGACAGTGGGCACTGTGGGGATTTTTCTACAGGAACTGTCTACAGCTGGGGTGCCCAATCCTGGTCCTACCACAGTCACATGGTACTCTGGTACTTGTCAACCGTCATCCTTGAGGGCTACAGATTCTATGTGGTTTAGAGTGACCTCTGCTGGTGAGAATTGGAGGTACAGCTTGTTCGGTCACACGTGGGCATGACATTCCCCCTCAGATCTTTTTTTAAATGCAGCGTGCTTGTTCCATGAAGGACCTGAGGTAGGAGTGGACCGCTGTGCCAAGTCTGGGGCACTAGAGCACATCTGAATCAGCTGACAGCACCTCGACACCCACCGGCGATGGTATGGATTAATACAGCAACAAAGACTGCAACAGACTCACCATCACAAGCAGGGTATGGATCATCAGGGCAGTGAATCCTTGTGCTATTTTATATCGCACCAACAATAACTCCTGTCCTGTATGTGCTGAACATTTGTTGGGGTGCTGGATAGGAGCGCACCCCATTTTGTGTACAGGAGGAAAGAAGACAAAATAAAGAATTCCGTACCCTCCCTCGTACTTCACTTCAGATCCCTTTGGCCAGAGAGGCGACTCCCACACGGCAGGAAGAGGAAGGGAAGAGCTCATCCCACTGCCCAGGATGCTTGAGGGAGAGAGGGGGGGCCAGCCTGAGACCCAACCTGTCCTGGACGTTAACCGGGGGGCGGACAGCTGCCCTGTTAGCCCTCTGAGGGTGCCTGGTTAGAGAGGAGAGACGGGGGTGTGGGCAGACGGGGCAGCTCCTGCTGGGTCGCGGAGGCGGGGACAGGAAAGGAGCAGCCGATGCCGGCGGCCGCCGTCTGTGCCGCCTCGACCAGGCCGATCTCCTGCTTCTGCTTCTCCTCCAGCAGGGACGCCAGGACTTGCCCCTGGACCCCGGGCCCGGCCCCCTCTTCCCTCGCCAGCGGGGCTCTCCGGATCACCTCCACTTTGGCCCGGCTGTCCTCCCAGCCCTGGCCGAGCTGGACTCCTCTCAGGGGCTCGCCAGCTCCGTGGAGCCCCAGGGGCGCCTGGGGGCCCTCCTGGAGAGGGTGGGCGCCGGCGCCAGGCGGGTAGACCTGGAGGAGGTGGCCGCCGGGCTCCTGGGCCGTCTCGGCGGCGAGCTCCACGCCGTGGTGGAGGGGCTGCCCCTGCACCTCCAGGCCGGGGGGCAGGGTGGTCAGCACGCCCCCTTCCTGGTCCTGTATCACGATCTCCAGGATGTCGGTGACCGGCGGGGGGGGCTGGGCGGCGGGCAGGGCCTTCTGGATGACCCCTCCGGTGGGGGGCTGGGCCGGGGGGGGCTGCCCGGCCTCCTC